CTCAATTTGCACTATTTATGGCAGTCTGCAACCCCCCTAAGTTCAAAGTGTAAATATAGTTTGAACTCATTTAACTTGGGAGAGAGGAGAGGAGGGCTGCATCTACACTGCAGAACTATTGAAGTTTGGCACTAACTGCTGTGGCTTGGTGCTATGGAATTCAGGGATTCGTAGTTTTGTGAGATACATACCCTTCTCTGTCAGAGAGCTTTGGTGCCACAACAAACTACAAACCCCAGGATTCCATAAGATGGAGCCATGGCAATTAAAGTGGTGTCAACCTGGATTAATTCTGCAGTGTGCAGCAGCAGCAGAAGTGGATTTTTTCCCTTCCCAGCAGGCTCAAGCAAAAGCAAACTGTTTCAGCCTCTTCTAGCTTGCACATTCTTCCTTGTGAATAACTTTGGCCACCTTGATCACTCTCTGTTGCTGCATGCTCACACATGCCCAGGTTTCATCAGTGAAATCTCAGAGGCGAGGGTCATGCGCTGCTGCACCTAGCTCAGCTTTTGCTTGCCAATGCCTTCTGTCAGTTCTTCTTGGGGCTCGCTCCCACTATGATTTAAAGCGAATTGTTGATCGGATTATATGTCCGTTGTTCCCACTCGAAGCCGGTTCTGATCCTACTGCGCTCGGTTTCAGTCGCAATGAAGCGAGGCAAATGCAAAAAACTTGGAAGAAATAGGTCAACGTTGGTAGTTAATTTGGGATGTTTCCCTGAGTTTCTTCCTGGAAGATGAGGAAGGCATTAGGTAGCAGGGAGGAGAACAAAATTATCTACAAGAAGAACAGGGTGGGGCAAATTCCCGGAGGAGAAGGCAGTGCCTGTCTACTTTTTTTTACATAAGATATAAGTTGCTATCAGCTTTGGAAAAGGACAAAGTACTCCAAGTGCCAAAGCAAACAGCCTTGTCTTGCAGAAAAATGCACATTGCCTGGTGGTTATCAGAAGCAATCATTTGAAGCAGCCAGTGATAGGAAGATCAAGAGGCAAGAAAAACAGATCATGCTCCGGTTTCTCTCTTCCCTAAGTGCAGCTGAGGTGAAGAACAAGGAGGTGGTGGTAGTAACTAGCTGGCTCAAATGATTATGTTGAAATCCTGTGATTTGTAAATGAAAGCAAGCAGGGACTGCCTTAAAGGGTAAAAAATACCCAGGCAAATGCCTCGTGGCACCTTGAAGATAAAATCTGCTCTAAAGAACAAAAATCCTCTTTATCAGGATCTACTAAAGGCTAAAATCTACTAAAGGCATCTGCTAAAGGCTAAAATCCTGTGCACACTTAGTAGTCCAGGAGGTGGGGGATATTTGGCACTACAGATGAGGTTGGACTGCAGTTCCCATCAGCCTTAGCCAGCATAGTCAATGGTGAGGGATGATGGGATTCATAGCCTGATTAATCTGGAGGGTGCTGGTTGCTCTCCCCTGTACTAGAGAGAGTGCAATCTATACCAATTTACCTGGGAGAAAATGCAATTGGATTTACTTCTGAGTAGACGTGTATAAAGCCAGTGTGGTGTAGTGGTTTGAGTGTTGGACTAGGATGCTAGAGACCAGGGTTCAAATCCCCACTCAGCCATGAAAACTCACTGGGTGACCTTGGGCAAAGCACACACTCTCAGCCTCAGTGGAAAGCAAAGGCAAACCTCCTCTGAAAAAAATCTTGCCAGGAAAATCCAATGATAGGTTCACCGTAGTTGGAAACAACTTGTGAAAGCATACATCAATAACATACATATATAGGCATTTGCATGGTGTCATCTGGTGTGGTAACTCATGTTGCCACGCTGCCATTTATCTCTTCCCAAACCACACCACACAGAATCCATAATAATGTTTTTTGTACTAACGTTCCTCATAAATCGTAATTCCTGTATTTAACTGAATGTAATGACAATAGATGTACGTAAACAGCCAGCAATATTAAAATTCTGTCTTTGCATTACAGTACCATATGCACAGCCTAAATGGATTTACATGTACTTAGTTTCATGTGGCTAAAGTGAAAATTTGGTAAGATGCAATGATTTTAAAGAAAA